TGCTCACAGGGTAGGCCACAAAAGAGGTATATGTTACATTGGCTCACACTCTTTAAAGTTGCCTAAGATCATATCAAGAGATAGACTTACTTAGTCGATCGTACCAACGGGGCAAATTCTAGGATCTATCATGCATGTTTCAAAGTAAACTCATCCCACTAGGCATTGACACTATAGTCAAACAAGACTCCACACTTTTGCTAGTGTGCAATGGTCATCACAATAGACTCAATTCAACAATTGGCTAGTCACAACGAGGTGCAAAGAGTTCACATATTGTCTATGCAACTTCATTTGGCCTCATTATAGCCGCACATTCATTTTCGTTCGATTGTGAGCACTATTCAAGTCATCGGTATTGATCGGAACCAAGACTCAAATTTTGCACAAGAACAGCCACATTAAACACACAAGAGGTGGCAAAAAATTTCAGAGGGGTCAAAATCATTTCGCAATAAAATAAAATGAGCCATAAGCTCAAACATCCACGAAGGAAATGTTCTCACAACATAAGCACAAAATTCCAAAAAAAACACGAGCACGAGTAGCAAAAGAAGGTGGGCCTCGCCCCACCACAATTAAAAACCATATGTCCTCAAATGCACAAAACAAAATATCCAGCAAGTCAGAGAAAGAAAGACAAAAAAGGAGGTAAAGAGGGGATCCTGTCTAAGCAGTCGCTCCATCTATTTGGGCATCAGTGCCCGAAGTATTGTCATTCTGATTCTAGTTCTCTTTCTCTTTTTGCTCTGCTTCAGCTTCTGTAGCGATATTATCCTCAACCATCTTATCTACTTCGTGAGTTGCTCTAAAGGCATGTATCACATTGATGCCCTTCGAGACCACGAAGGGACGTTAGGGTCAATGGGCATCCTCCTCGAACTGGTTTTCTTGTTCTCGTTCCTTGTAGTTCTCCAGAACTTTTGTGCTCTTATCTGTCTGGGTGGCATGCTTCTTCCTGCAACTTTTGGTCTGGCCATTTCTTTGGCTGAAAGACCGTCCAATTTTTGCTCGTTCGGCGACATTAGTCCAGATCGCCAAACCACTTGGCGATTCACAGAGTGATCACTTGACTCACCGAGTTTTACAGGGACTTCAGTCAAGAATTAAGATCCAAACGGCGGTTTGCATCAGGATCGCTATATGGTTGGTGACTCGCCAATAATTTCTTGGTCTCGTCGAGTTTTACAAACCCCAATGTAAATTGATTTTGGGTCTAGGCGGTCTGGGTCAGGGTCGCCGAACCAATCGGTGATTTGCCACTCTGTACTCATCAATAATTCTCCGCACTTTCACCTGCACAATTAACACACCTTTATTTAAAACCATAAAACTTAGGTTACCTCCCAAGAAGTGCCTTATTTAACGTTGTGGCTCAACATGGAAATGCCTTCACGCATCTTTCAGGTACACCTCTTCAATCAAAGAATTTTCTGACATTCTCCGTATACAATTTCAAATGTTGTCCGTTCACCTTAAATGCGTGTCCTTCTTGACCTTGAACATCTATGGCTCCGTTCGGGAACACTCATGTCACTCTAAATTGTTCTGACCATTTCGATTTGAGCTTCCCAGGGAACAACTTCAGTCGTGAATTGTATAGCAACACCCAATCGCCCACTTTAAACTCTCTCTTGAGTATCTTCGCATTATGCCATTTCTTCATTTTTTCCTTGTACAGAGTCGAACATTCGTACGCTTTAAACTTGAATTCGTCCAACTCATTCAGTTGTTCTACTCTCTCTTTTGAAGTTTTTGCCCAGTCCAAATTTAGAGCTTTTAATACCCACAATGCCTTATGCTCAAGCTCGACTAGTAAATGACATCATTTTCCAAAAACGAATTGATATGGTGACATACCGATTGGAGTTTTATAAGCGGTGCAATATGCCCATAGTGCGTCCTCCAACTTTCGAGACCAATCAGTTTGATTTACATTTACTGTCTTAGCCAAGATGTTTTTGATCTCTCAGTTTGACACTTCGACTTAACCACTTATTTGGGGATGGTATGGTGTTGCCACTTTGTGCTTCACCCCATACTTACTCAATACAGCTGAGAACTATTTATTGCAAAAGTGTGACCCCCCGTCACTAATAATAGCTCGGGGAGTTCCAAATCTACCAAAAATGTAGCGCTTTAGGAATTGAACCACATTTTTTCCTTCGTTATTCGAAAGAGCAACAGCTTCTACTCATTTAGACACATAGTCCACAGCCACCAAGATGTATTTGTTGCCAAATGAGCTCACAAATGGGCCCATAAAAACGATCCCCCATACATCAAATAATTCCACTTCCAAAATCAATGTTTGAGGCAACTCATGCCTTTTGGATACACCACCTTGGTTTTGACACCTCTTAACAAACTCATGCGCATCTTTTTATAGAGACGGCCAGTAATACCCGCTTTGTAGCACCTTTGTTGTTGTCCGAACACCACCATGATACCCTCCAACTGGTGAAGTGTGACAAGCGTGCAAGATTGCCCTAACTTCCTCTTCTGGGACACATCTTCTTATCATGTGGTCCGCACATTCTCTAAACAAGTATGGCTCGTCCCACAAATATTTCTTAACATTGAATAAAAACTTCTTTTGTTCGTAGAAGGTTAGTTCATCTGATATTAATCCGCACACCAGAAAATTAGCAAAATCGCATACCAAGGGGGTTGTGTGAGATTCATTGTGAATAGCTACTCATCGGAAAAGTCATCCTTGATGTCGATCTCTGGCTCGTCCTTATCCCTGTCTTCCAACTTCGATAAGTGATCAGCCACTTAATTTTCACAAACCCTTTTGTCCTTAACCTCAAAATTGAATTTTTGCAATAAAACAACTCATCTGATCAATCTAGGTTTTGCGTCTTTCTTTGCCATCAGATAATGCAGAGCAGCATGATCAGTGTGAATAATCACCCTTGTACCCAGCAAGTATGCACGAAACTTCTCAAATTCATATACCATTGTAAGTAACTCTTGTTCAGTAACTGTGTAGTTACGTTGAGCACTGTTTAGAGTTTTGCCTGCATAGTAAATGGGATGAAAAAGTTTGTTTCATTTCTGACCCAACACTACTCCCAATGCCATGTTGCATCACACATTACTTCAAATGGCTCAGACCAATCAGGACTAATGATGATTGGGGTGGATATTAATTTGTCCTTCAGGCATTTGAAAGCTATCATGCATGCATCATCAAAGTTGAATGTTATCTCCTTCTATAAAAGTTTGCATAGAGGAAGTGCAATTTTTTAGAAGTCTTTGATGAACCTTCTATAAAATCCAGCATGTCCCAAAAAACTTCAAACTCTCTTTACCGAAATCGGAGGCGGTAATTTCTCGATTACTTTGACTTTTGATTTGTCGACCTCCAACCCCTTTTGTGATACTTTCTGACCAAGAACAATGCCCTCTTTGACCATGAAATGACACTTCTCCCAATTTAAGACTAAATTGGTCTCAACACACCTTTGAAGAACTTGGCCCAAGTGATCTAAGCAGTTTGCAAATGAGTCACCCACAACTGAGAAATCATCCATAAACACTTCCATTGAGTCTTCCACCATGTTAGCAAAGATGGATAGCATACAACGTTGAAATGTAGCAGGGGGATTACATAATCCGAATGGCAATCGCTTGAAGGTGAATGGTCCATACGGACAGGTAAAGGTTATTTTCTCTTGATCCTCTAGTGCGATGGAGATTTCGTTATAGCCCGAGTATCCATCCAGGAAGCAGTACCACCCCGCTCGAATAGTCGGTCAATCATTTGGTCCATAAATGTCAAGGGGAAGTGATCATTTTCAATCCATGAGTTTAATTTCCGATAGTCCATGCAAACTCTCCATCCTGTCACCGGTAGTAAAGATACAAGCTCTCCCTTATCATTAGGGACAACCGTGACTCCTCCTTCTTTTGGTACACACTACACTGGGCTGACCCATTTGATATCTGTAATTGGGTAAATTACTCATGCGTCCAACCATTTTATTTTCTCCTTTTTCACCACCTCTTGCATTGGTGGATTTAGTCTTCGTTTGTGTTTGACACTCGGTTTGCACTCGTTGTCCAGCTGAATTTTATGTGTGCATATGCCTGGAGAATCCCCACGATGTCAGAGATAATCCATCCGATGGTTTTTATATACCTTTTCAAAACTTCAAGGAGCAATTTTACTTGCCAATCAAGTAAATCAGCTGCAATAATCACCGACAAGGTGTTATTGTCGCCTAAGAAAGCGTACTTGAGATGTGAAGGCAATACCTTGAGCACGAGATTTGGTGGTTCTTCGGTTGACGATTTGGCAGGCAGGCTCTCTCGATTTTTTAAGTCGATGTTCAATTTAATTGGAGTCTTGGTGAATTCTCCCTTGCTTGAAAATGAGGCTACCACTTCATGTTGACTTTGAACCTCAAACTCTTCATCTTTATCCCACACAACTTCCAGGGATTCTTTGCTACACATAATATGACTTACACTAGCCACTACTTCATCAATCATATCATCAACTAAGATTACATGAATGTTGCTTGGATGTTTCATTGACTTGCATACATCAAAAGTGACTTCATCATCATTAACCCAAAATTTCAACTTCCCACTCTCAACGTCCACAGTGCTCTCCCAGTTTCCAAGAATGGTCTCCCCAAGATTATGGGAATTTCCGCATATATGTCACAATCAAGAATGACAAAATTGGCCGGAAAGATGAATCTGTCAACCTTAACCAAAATGTCAGAAAGTATCCCCACTGGATGTTTAATTGATCTGTCAGCCATCAAGAGTCTCATAGTTTCTCTTGTGTTAGCCTAAAATGAAATGGGGAAACATGATCATCTTTGGTATACCACACTTGATTAATTCTAGTCATGTCGTCTAGAAGAAATGAAGCTACCTCGAATGTTTGTAACATTATTCCTCCTCGTACCAATTGGTCAGCTACTCATTTATTAACCTAATCAAGGCTCCGGTAGAAATATTGAAGTAACAAATTAGTTGGTAGCCCATGAGTTGGGCATTTAAATAAGAGCTTTTTGAATCTCACCCATGCTTCATGGAGTGGTTCCCATTCCCTTTGCTTGAACCCTTGGATTTCATCTCTAAGCTTCATCATTTTTTATGGAGGAAAAAATCTTGCGCTAAATACTGTGACCAGCTCCTCCCATGATGCGATGGAATTTTTCTTTAACTCGGTTAACCACTTATTTTCCTCTCCTTTTAAAGACAATGGAAATAGTCACAACCGAATTGACTCTTGTGGTACTCCCTTGAATGCAAAAGGGCTGCAAACTTCTGTAAAGCTCCTCACATGCTTATGCGGGTCTTCGTGATCTAGACCTCCATATAGTCCTCTCATTTGGAAAAGTTGAAGGGTTGTACTAGTTACTTCAAACGTTTCATTCCCACCAGTTTGTGGGATGCAAATTGAGCCTACTCCTTCCAACTGATCTGGATTATAGACACTATTTACGTTGTCTATACCGTCTCGATGACCGGCTTCACTTTCATTTATTTCTTCCTCATGCATGTTCATCTTCCCTGTCGCTAGCACAAACACTCGAAACAAAACTGAAAATTAAGTATAAACTATAACTATTAAGAACAAAAAATTTACTAAACTAAAAACTTTCAAGTAACACCACTCCCCGGCAGCAGTGCCATTTTAATGTTTGCGTAATCAAGACACAACTTACAGTTCGGATGTCTACGATCGTATAATAGTTTAGTAACCCAACCAAGGGTTGGGGTCGAGTCCCAAGGGAGTGGGCTTGAGAATTAATACAGAAATAAAATTAAGTTCTATTTAGTTATAGCTAATAAACATTTTCGAGTGCAAATATACTAAATCTAAAGGGGAGACATAGAAGTATCAAGTAACAAATTGGGGTTTTAACACAAGTAGGCAACAACAGTGAAAATAACAAAGAGAGTTAATAAAAGAGAGGAGGTTCTTGGGATGTGATAGGAATACGGGATAGACTAAGCTATTGGGTACATGCTTTTGTTGGTAAATTTGTTGAATCTTTGTGACTACGCTAGACTATAGTGGGGGTAAATTCTCTCTCAAGCAACTTACCCTGAATCAACCTCGTTCCTCTCAGACACCGGGTTGCCACTTTAAGCACAGCCTCTACCTTAACCCACTAACTCTCTCGAGATGAGTGTGTGGATATGGGACTAGGGTTCACTCTCTCGAGCTGAGCCTCATGTCGACCCACTCACACTCACCATCAATTTAGTAGTCTTAGTTTTGTGTCCTCTCTCTCGAGCAGGTGGAAAACACAAAGGTGAAGTTGTATATGTAACTACAACCCCATTTAGTTCCACCACAACTACTAAATGAAATAACATCAAAACAACAAATAAATCCTCAAAAGCAAGACCCAACAGATAACCTAACCCATATTCGCAAAATCACACCCCGAGAATTGGGGTTTTTAGCCACACATGTATAAGAGATAGAAATTTATACCTTTTAAGTATTGATACAAGCCAAAAGTGAAGAATCCAAGAGACCCAAGTCCAAATTCTTGAAGATGAAACCCTTAGAAATCTTTTTCTTCAAAACCCTCTCCAAAACATAGAAAAAGACTCAAAAACTAAAAATATACTATTCAAAGATAAAAAATCTGATATGAAAAAGCTAACTCTCAATGAGTATTTATATTGTTCAAAAAGTTGTGCTGCGTCCGGTCGTTCGGCGAAGTTAGTCGGGATCGCCGAAGCATTCAACAATCTGCCATTTGGTCTGGTTCATCGCCCTTCTACTTGAGTCTTCAGCATTGGGTGAGATGGATCTGTTTCACTGATCTTCTTGGTGATTCTCCGACTACTTCTTTACATCGCAGACTTGACTTCTCGCATCGTCGTATTTCGGATCGTTAGGCGACAGAGTACTGTTTTGTAGAGTTGTTCGGCGAAACAACGACTACTTTTTTTACCACCGATTTGATCCTTACTTCAGGGCTCAGAACACTGGAACAAAAGGAGAGGATGGGCCTGTTGGCGATACGCCGAGTGGGTTCGGCGATCCTCATGCCTTCACTTCTTCGTTCCTTCGACATTCTTTTGTTCCTTTTTGCTATGTAGTATCCATGCTATCCCTCAAACTTTGAATACCTGAAACTTAAGGGTTTTCATTAGATATCGAGATAAAACATGCATTTGAGGACACTAATTCTACCAAAATATAGCCCTAAATGAGTCCAAATCGTGGACTCATCACTAGGAAGCAATGAAATCCAATTCCGCGCATAAATCAATGAACCAAAATACTCCAAGAATGCAAGAAATATAAAACTAAAGTGCATGTGTGAGTTTGGGAAGGTGCAAAAGTGAGGAAAACAGAATAAAGTTGAAATTTTTAAACATTTGGCTGAAAGATCGTCCAGTTTTCACCCATTTGGCGACATTAATTCCGATCACCGAGCTGCTTGGCGATTCACAGAGTGATCACTTGTCTCACCGAGTTTTACAGGACCTTCAGTCAAAATGAAGATCCAAACGGTGGTCTGCATCGGGATCGTCAATATGGTCGGTGACTCACCAATAATCTCTTGATCTCGCCGAGTTTTACAGACCCCAATATGAATTAGTTTTGGACTTAACGGCGATCTAGGTCGGGGTCATTGAACCAATTGGCGATCTGCGGAATGGGTCTTTCGTTCGCCAATCTATACTTTTGTTCACTCTCTTCACTTACACCTGCATAATCAACACACCATTATTTCTAAAACTAACATAAAGCAATAAAAAGGGTTTTGTTGCCTCCTAACTAGCGCCTTAGTTAACGTCATTGGCACGATGCAAGTCAACACCTAGTCCTCATCCTCGAAGTCGCCCATGGTGTAATTAGGCAAATCTTCGGAAAACAGTAGATAGCAACCTGATATCAAATGGCCGATCTGGGCATCTTGCAGCTGAATCGTCACAGAATTAGCAGTAGTTGTCTCATTCAGTATTTCAATGTTGTCCTTCATCTCATTTAACTTATTGTTTTGTTCTTCGAGCTTTTGTTGAATGAGTGAGAGAATCATCATTTTGCACACCACCATGCTTCTTACCATGTTTACATTCTCGAAGGAAGAAGTTCTTTTCCTTTTCCCTGGCTTGTGCTTCCAACCCCATGACTCGCTTGGACAGAACGTCTACTTCAGCCACTAGTTTGTCCCACTCATATTTCTTATGGGCTTCCTTGTTGGTTTCAACCATACTATCAAGGAGTGATGCGATGACTTCGTAGGGCTGGTGGAGTACACCGCCCTCGAAAAGTTGATTGGCTATGCTTCTATTTTCAGGTCCAAGACCCCGATAGAAGCACTCCAGCAGTGTATTTCCAGACATTCCATAAGATGGGCATGGTTGTAGTACTGATTGAAACTTCAACCACATTTCTTGAATTGTCTCATCCCCCGATTGTTTTAACGTCAGTAGATTGTCCCTAAGGTTCAATAGTTTCAGAGGGGATGATTCATGTGGTACCCATAATGTTCATCCATTCTTATTTCCTTGCTTTGGTACACAAAACAAAACTAAAAATCAAGTGAGTAATCTACAACTATTAAGAACGAAAATTCTACTAAACTAAAAATCTTCAAGTAACACCACTCCTCGGCAGCGGCTCCATTTTGATGTTTGCGTAATCAAGACACACTTCTGATTCACGTGTCTACGATAGAACAATAGTTTAGTAACCCAACTGAGGGTTGGCGTCGAGTCCCAAGGGAATAGGCTTGAAAAATAGTAGAAAAATAAAATCAAGTTCTAATTAGTTGCAGTTTAGAAACATTTTCTAATACAAATATGCCAAATCAAATGGGGATACAAAAGTGTCAATTAACAATTTGGGAGTTTACTCACAAGTAGGCAAAAATAGCGAAAATAACAAAGAGAGTTAATCAAATAGATGAGGTTCTTGGGATGTGATAGGAATACAGGATAGACTAATTTATTGGGTACATGCTTTTAACAGAGAATTCGTAGAATAATTATGACTAGGCTAGACTTTAAGGGGGATAGCTTTCTCTCGAACAATTTACCCCGTTTCAAGTGGGTTTCTCTCAAACACCCACTTGCTGCTTGAAGAGCAGCCTCTGCCTTAGCCCACTCACTCCCTCGAGCTGAGTGTGTGGATATGGGACTAGGGCTCACTCTCTCGAGCTGAGTGTGTGGATATGGGACTAGGGTTCACTCTCTCGAGCTGAATGTCATGTCGACCCACTCACACTAGCCATCAATTTAGTGGTCTTAGTTTTACGACATCTCTCTCAAGCAACCAAAAAACACATAAATGAGACTATATTTGCAACTACAACCTCATTAAATTCATCCACAACCATTAAACGAAATAATATTTAAACTACGAATAAACTATCAGCAAGCAAGACCCAACAAATAATCTGACCCATATTCACAAAATCACACCCCAATAATTGGGGTTTTTAGCCACACATGTATAAGAGATAGAAATTTATACCTAAATGATTTTGCATTCAAATGGGTATCAAGATTTAAGTCTTGATACAAGCTAAAATTCAAGAATCCAAGAGACCCAAGTCCAAATCCTTGAAGATGAAACCCTTTAGAATCTTCTTCTTCAAAATTCTCTCCAAAACTTATAGATAAAAGCAAAAACTAAAAATATATTGTTCAAAAATAAAATGTGATATGAAAAAGCTAACTCTCAATGAGTATTTATAGTTTTCAAAAATCTGTGTTGCGTCAGGTCATTCGGCAAAGTTAGTCGGAATCGCCGACACACTCGACAATCCACCCTTTGGCCTGGGTCACCGCCCTTCTGCTTCGTCTTCAATATTTTAGCATTCTGGGGCATTGGGCGATAGGAGACTGTTTCGCCAATTTGCTCGGTGATTCGCCGACTTCTTCTTTACATTGCAGACTTGACTTCCAGCATCATCGTGTTTTGGATCATTTAGGCGATATCGTACTACTTCGCGGAACTGTTCGGTGACATGCCGACTGCTCCTTTCATCGCCAATTGCATCTTTTCCTTCAGGGCTCAGTACACTGGAACAAAGGTGAAGTGAGACCTTTTGGCGACTCGCCGAATGGGTTTGGCAATTCGCAGATCTTCTTTTCATCGTTCTT